CTCATTCTCTCCTCGCTCATTTGAGCTGGGCAATAAAGCACGAGACGAGCCAAGAGCCCGAGCCCTGGGTTGGATTTTGTTCTGCGGAGTGGGGAGGGAGGGGGGGGAAGGCTCCTTCACCTCCCAGGTCGGCTCTGAAGGCAGGGGAAGGGGATGTCCCCCGGGGAGGGATGCGGGTCCGTCAGCCACTGGGGCTTCATTCTGCCCACACAATGCTCTGGGGGAGAGCAGTGAGCCCTTGGGGAGGTGTGTCAACACCAAGAGGACAATGGCAGCACCGGGCTGGCGAGGAGGAGGCTGACCCAGCACAAAAGCAGTTCACTTCCTACCACGCTACTCCCAATCTGCACCTCCTGAGCAGGGCACCTACAAGAACCTGCTACCATAGCTCAGTCCCAGGCAAGGACTCCTCCTCCGCAGTAAGGGCTGGGTGCTATTTCTAAGTTTCCAGGTGAATTTCCAGTGCCGATGGGCCATGGGACACACGAAGGGAAGCACGTGCCTTCACTTGATACAAGATCTTCTCCCACAGCACATCCACCTCTCGAGCTCCTGCTGCTGAGTGTGTGTGTCCCTCTGAAACCCCGGAGCGGTCCCATGGAGCAAAGCACTTTGCTCTCCTGATTTTCCTGGCGCCGTCACCAGAGCCGAGTGCCTTTGCCACGACAGGACCCGGGGATCAATCGCTGTCTTCCCACAGAAACCTCTTCCACCTTCCCCGTCCCTGCTCCTTCATGCTCCAGTGGGAAAAGCTGCTTCCGTCCTTTCCCCACCTTCATCCAGGAGGAGCTGCAGCCCGGCCAGCTCAGGCCCAACCTCTTTGGAAAAGCAAAGCAAGAAGCAGCCGGGATTCAGGGGCTGTCGCACGAGGTGGTGTCACGGATGGAGGGATCCAGAAGCCACAGCTGAGGTTTTGCAGCAAAATTCAGTGTTTTCCCTTTGCTTTAGGCGCGACGCTTCCACCCTCTGCTCCTCAGTCCCCGGTGGGGAGGTGCAGAGCCCATCGGTCTGGCCTTGGAGCTGCCTCCTCACCCTGCCTGCCAAAAACAACCCCCGAGCCCCCGGCCTCCCCGCTCTGCCCCTCACCTCCCACCCTGCCTTCGGCACTCACGAGTTCTAGGGAATGATTGGAATAAAGCAGCTTGGGGTATGTCACACACGAATCCATCTTTCCGTCTGCATATGTAGTATTTAAAAAATACCCAGCACAAGCCCAGGTGGTGGTTGAAAGTCTCTTAAAGCATTTGTGTATCTTCATCAGAAAATCCTCCACTTCTCCCCCTTTGCTGGCACCGGGCAAGTTAATCCAGCGCTTGTATTTACACGGCTGCATAAAATTATCCCTGACTGCTTCTTAAAAAAAAACCTTAAAAAACAGGTGAGAGATATATATATATATGTATAATATTTACATAAATAAACGAAGAAGGCAAGCGGAATGCTTCCTTCCCCTTTCCAATTGGCCAGCGCTTGCCTTGTTTTCTTTGTTTTTGGCAACAGCAGGTGAACATCCCGGTGAAAACTGTCCCCCGTCCCTATTTCTTTTTTTTTTTTCCTACATCCAACCCTCACTATTGCACCAGCAATCTGTTCAGGAGTCCAAGAGTTAAAGTTGCAGCACAGACTCTCCTTGCCTACTCCCTTAAGCCTCTCAATCTTCCATTAAATCCATTTCTCCATTCAGACTGGATGAGCTGTTTCCCCCCCCCCCATTCCCCACGCCGGCAGCTGCT